ATCGGAACTATTTACCAGCTGATGACAAGCCTACACCCAATGAAAATGATGTAAAATTGAAGGCCGGTGGAAGTGATAATCGCGACAGTATCTATATACCAATGGAATACAAAAGAACTAAATTAACAGACACCAACGTAGACAGACATCTTTACTATCATGATAAAAGTTCATCTTTTCTATCCTCCCCGTACTCACAATATACTTATTATTGTAGTACACCCAAAGAAAAGGAACATTTTTCATATTCGTTTTCCTGTTTTCCTGTAATGCCACCCATTCAGTCCCCTTCTGCCAACCCTAACCATTTTCTGACGGCTAACATGATGTTACCACGACACCCTCAACACTTACCTTCATCGTTTCCAGGCATGGTCTTATAATGGCGGCCATCGTGAAATACTTCTGAAGAACATAACAATTGTAATAACATTATCAAATATTGTCAGGTGATATTGAAAATCTATTTTACAAAACAACTTGTTACAAAGATAACAGTTCGTTAAATACGACAATTTAGAGTCTGAGTGCATAGAAATTGGTGGGCTAATTGTCAATACTTTTATTTTTCTTGGTCATCAGATATAAATGGTCCAATATAGCATTAATTTTGTACATATACATTTATATCAAGGAAAGAATAATATATTAATGTATAACATAATATATGTAAATAGAATTTGTTAGTGTTTTTGGTCTTTGGTTTAATAATTGAAATGATACTGAATTCAACCTTAAATAAGGATGTATATTGAAAACACATCTAAATGTATGTGTTTAATTTGATTATCTGACTAAAGTAAAATAATAATAAAAACATAACATCAACAGTTTTGTGTTTCACATCCAGTATTTTGAAAACTAATATGGGTATTCACTGTTTAGTTATCTTGGATTGGATGAAACATATACCATTTAAGACTGAACATGGAGATGAAATGGTCTTCTAGGGAGAACGAGACAATCAGATGTTTCCAGACTGTCATAGACTAGCAGAGGTTTCCTAATTAATAATATTCATTTTCTGATTTATGATGTTCTGAAATTGAGTCAATCTAATGTTAGAAGGAAGAACTAACAATGATGCCAAAGGGGCGTAAAAGGAGTGTGGCTATCATAGTATGTGGGATTACGCAAATTGCATACGACAGGCGTCCATCCTTTTAGTTATTTCAAATACAGTTTGAGCACGTGTTGTAAACTGGCACAGCTTGCATCCCACATTTCGTTAAATAGGACAGTAATTAAGTACAATTATGAAATCTTCTCAATATTCCCTTCCTATACGCTCCAAGGAATGAATGGATAGTTTTATCAGAAAATATAGAACAGACTGTGGAATTCATTTAATGAATGCATAAATAAGAATCGGAATAACATGTAACCTTGTTGTTGCATATAAAATTGTATGCGAGAGACGGGGTCATAGTACTTAAGTGCAGTAACTTAAATACAAAATTATTTGTTGAAATGAACAGTGGTTTAGCGCCCTACGCTTCTTAACCAACTGTGCTGACAATGGCGGGCATACAATGTACGATGGGGACAATTTTGCCCACACGGCAGCTTTTCCAGCTAATCTCGATCGAATACTAAATAGAGTTGCTAGCTATATATGATATCCTCAAACCAGAAGTCTCATCGATTGATCTAGAGTAAAATTCCCAGAGTCGTGATCGATTCCCGACACTACTTATAACTATACAGGTCACAATTCTATGGAATACAATTACTGCTTATTACTGAGCGACGTTTCGACTAGGCGTCTCTAGTCATTATCAAGCCATGATAAAAAATGAAAATATGACAGGACAATATATACATATACACAACAATACTTAGTTAATGCTGACCAACCAGATATCTCCCTTAAGCAATCTAATTTAATTAAAGATTATAAAGTTAAATGCTAATAAGAACATTCAATAATACCAATTAACCTAAAAATTGACTAATTGATTAATGGATAAGTTGTTGTGGAGTATATAAAATGATTAGTAGGTTTTAATAATGACAAACGTTGAAAGAAAATGAAATTTGATAAAATGTTATCATTTTGAAGTTCACCTCTCCCCCAAGAACGAAAGCTAAGCGAGAAACATTTATAAATCGGGTCTAAAATATGTGAAAATTAATATCAAGAAAATCTTTGGAGTTAGTTATAGTCTTTCAACTGAAAGTCTTGTTGACAATCTATATGCAAACCCATTCAAAAACAGTAACCCTGTTGGTTTGTTACCTATGTTTAATAGTGTGCAACAGGTTGTTGTATTTCGGTGGGTCTGTCAGTCGAATAGAATCCATAATACTTCGTTGTTATTGGGAGTTAAAGAAATAGCATCAAACTACATGTCGAATTGATTTTTCAAATGAGTCTAACGTTGTCATGGTCATAATAAATAAGGAGGAGTACCATTCAAAGGGCCGATATTGCTACCCAGAAATAAGGTTGGAATCTTCTAATGACATCAAAAATATTATTTTTACATATAACTGTATGTAAAATGTTTATATTGTCTACGTTTCAATGTGCTGTACTTTATGTATGCATATTGTACTTTACGTTGTCATGTGGCATAATATCGAATTAGGGTTATCGTGGTGAAGTGGTATAAGATAGAATTAGCGTTATCGTGGTCATGCGGTATACTCTAGATTTTTGGTTATCAGTGGAGCCCAGCAACCCCCCCCCCCCACCACCCCTATTTTGTAAAAGCGACGGGGCGGGTCACAATTTTTCATATCTAAATAATAGCTTAAATGTTTGCTGTTTTTAATACCGTTATTAAATCCAGGTACGTTGTAAATGTTATAAAATAGCTAAAATAAACCCCAAGAACATACATTAATGTTCTCAACTTAGACTGGATGACCAAGATATTAATGTTCTCAACTTAAACTGGTGGACTAAATCTTGTAGATTTATACATTGAACTAAATATATATTAATACATAGGTGAAATGTATAAAACTATTATATTCGAAAAGAATAAAAATGAAAAGAATCATAACAAACACCGTAAACTATTGTTTCTCTATATTTCCAGGTCACCGAGAAACAAAGGCTAACTGCATTCAAGTATAGCCTTTTGATACTATTCAGCCTTTGGAGAGTAGTTCACATGTCCAGTATTAGTTATTTATTGATAAACTGTGTATACGTAAATATAAATATCCATTCAAAGTGTACACACGGTCAGTCATGGACTGTGGATTTACATGCTCTAATTAGCATCCCCAGTCGAAGTATGTATTTATAGATCTTCCATTCTAATTCATAGGACATATTTCTTGACCGTCATATTATATAGATTGTGTACCTGAATTCATATCGATTTGATACCCGGAGATCCTATTAATTCATGTAGTGGAAAACTACCCACTGTGCGGTGCTGTATGCATTTTGGTGTTGTGTTGTGTTGTGTATGTGCAAAGTATTGACTTTATAAAGTAACAAAATAAACATTCACGTAGGTGTAATAAATAAGATCATGGATGCGCAAGTGTGTGAAAATGGACTTGAGTTAGGTTCAATTCGCAGTGGCGAGAAATTCCAGGATTCCGAGCTCATTTCAGTAATAGAAGAAAATGGAGGTAGAAACGACAATGATTTACAAGATGCCGAGCGTGAAAATGAAAATAGACACGATGGTGATTTACAGGATTCCGAGCTCATTTCGGTAATAGAAGAACGTGAAAATGCAAGTAGACACGATGATCATATACAGGATTCCGAGCTCATTTCGGTAATAGAAGAACGTGAAAATGAAATTAGAAACGATGACGAATTACTGGGTAAAGAGATGGCTGAAGAAGAGAGAACGAAACATGAGAAACCATTTTGGTTTTGTCGTTTCGTGACAACTTATCCCATCATGTCTTTTAGTAAGTGTTACTGCAGAATTTTTAGTAAATAAACATTATATTATAAATAATTTCAAATATGAAGCGCACAGTCCGGGTCGTTTGACATTATAGAGAATAAGGGTAATTAGATTGTTATGAGCCATTATATAAATAATTTCAAATACGAACCACACAGTCACGGCCGTGTGACATTATAGAGAAGGGGTAATTATTTTTGTTGGAAGACTCTGATTGTCATGATGCAAAGTACGATCAGCATGAGACTTGTCATGTTTGTTCCTTGAACAATTGCGCATCGATTGTCCAGGATGCGGCCAATCCCGGGTGCTGGTCCATAACTATTGTACTTGTTTTCGGTTTTTTTATTATGACAGATTTTGTGTGTGTCTAGTAAAGAAGTATGTCCAATTAAGGTTATCTGTTCATCTTTTTGTATTATTTATATTTATTTTAAGTTAAGGTTATCTGTTCATCTTTTTGTATTATTTATATTTATTTTCAGTTCTGGGTGTTTCTGGTCATCTATTTATTGCAGCAGTAACTATCACTCTACTTCTAGTTGGTTTTGACGTTTTCCCAACGAATTTTGAAACCTTACCAATGGAATTACGTGATAGCCCATGGCTTGCTCGGTATCGAGCTTACCAAAATCGATTTAATTTCAAACACCCTGTGTACAGATACGTAAAAGGCGATTATATACCCACGTGGATACGGGGTAGGGAAGGAATGAGAATTGAATTAATATATGACACACATGGTAAAAACATTTTTACAAAGGAGCACTTACAAACAATTGCATCAATAGAAAAGAAGGTCGACTCAATTTCCGAGTATTCTGATATTTGTCAATTAACAAAGAAAGGCGAACAAGTTTTACCGAACTCTGTCATTCGTTTTTTCGATGGATCAAGGGCTCATATTAATCCAATATTTAATGACTCTAAGTTTGATAATATTATAAATGTACTATACACAGCTTATAATACAAATGAGACAAAAGTTGAGTTGAATTATTTACTCGCAAAGGATTTTAGAATATCACCTTCTTTCGTAAGCTCATCTTTGACTAGAAGTGACTTTCCATTGGGGTGGCCAATTTCAAACGATTCCAACGAAGAAATTGCCGCAAAAATAGTACGAAGCAAACAAGTTAAATACTTAAAACCCGTTTTTGAAGAAATTATAAAGACTAAAGATTTTGATGTGACGTATTTCAGTATGACTTTGTTTGAACATGACGTGGCTGAACAAGCCATAAAAGATTTATATTTAGCAGGGGGGAGTGTGATATTTATATTTTGTTATATGTGGTTTCATACATCTTCATTATGGATTACAGTATGGTCGGTTATCAGCATTCTCTCAAGTTTCCTGGCAACTAATTTGTTCTACAGAGTCATCCTTGACTTTCGTTATTTTGGATTTTTTCACGTGTTGTCGCTTTTTATTATTCTAGGAATAGGTGCAGACGATTTATTTGTTTTCTATGATTCTTGGAGAGCAACTGGCCTGACGTCATACCCGTCTCTTGCGCATCGTCTATCTTCTGCCTACCGGAAATCAACTCTCAGTATGTTTGTGACATCAGTAACAACGATGGCAGCTTTTGCATCTACCGCCCTTACGCCACTTCTAGCCACTAAATCGTTCGGGATTTTTTCAGCCCTCTTAATTATTATTGACTATATTTCCATGATACTTTTCTTTCCTACTATTGTGATTTTTTATCACGTTAAAATAAAGAAATGCTGTACAAACTGCTGCTCGTGCTGCTTAAAGAATACAAAGGAATCAACCCAGATTACAGACAACTTAATAGATAATGATTTTTGTCAAAATGAAGTCACAGAGACTGTTGTTAAAAAACAGCCTGGTATGTTGGTTCGATTTTTCAGAGATAAATATTTTAAATTTGTCACCCATGGTAAAATAAGATGGATATTAATAAGTGGATTTGCTGTATTGGTATTATTTATGTTAATAAGCTGTTCAAGATTAAAACCAGACAATGAACAGGTAATTGTTACTGTAAATTATATACATGTATTTGTATTAAAGAACAACTTGTTGACGGGTTTTGCGGGATCAGAATCACCTATAGTGCAGCAGCTAACTGCATTCTTGAGGAAATCTTTCAAATGTGGATACAAGTATCCAAATTGGCAAAAATTCTTCTTTGAGGCTACATTTTTGGAAAAACAAATTACCCATTCGGAAATCCAAGATGTCGCCCAATTTTAAGATGGTCACCTTTTCCGGCAACAAATATTTTGTGCAATAAAAGTATATAAAATTGTCCAATATGATACATTTTGGAGTCAATACAGTTATCTTTTGGCACCTTGAATACACCTTTTTTGTTTTTTAAGCCGTTAACATTGCCCTTTTATGCAAATAGCGGCAAGGAATATGGAGGCAACAATTTTGATGAAACTTTGGATTTTGTTAATAAATGACCCTAAACGGACACCCATGCAAATTTTAGTGCTTGTATCCAGATTTAGTTCTAATTAAGTGAGAGTGATGAAACTTGGTGTATAGTTTCGTCACATCAATACCTTGACTAACTTCGATAATGAACATTTTCTGCTGAGAGTAAGCAGAGCGATAAGCACTTTGCTTGGTCGAGACTTTGAACCACAATAACTCTACTTCTAATTGAGGTAGAATCTTCAAACTTGGTGTAGGCGTTCATTAGGTGAATGCCTTGGTGGAGTTCGGTGATGAACATTGTCTGCTTACGGTAAGCAGAGATAGCAATTTGATTGGTTAGTGTTTTTGGGCACGATAACTTTGGTTATAATTAAGTGAGAGCTATGAAACTCAGAGTATAGATTCGTTATATCGTTACCTTGACTAAGTTTGATGAGAATATTCTGCTTAGGCTAAGGAGCGATAAGCAATTTGATTGGTCAAGACTTTGGAACATAACAACTCTGCTTTTAATTGAGGTATACTGTTTAAACTTGATGTTGATCTTCATTAGGTGAATGTCTTGACTGAGTTTAATGATTAACATTTCCCGCTAACGCTAAGCAGAGCAAAGCAATTTCTTTGACTTTGATTCTATCTGATAGAGAGTGATGAAACTTAGTGTATCGTTGATAATCAGTTTGATTGCTCAATACTGTTAAAAAAGATAATTAATATGTGTCATCTATTTATTTCGGGATTTCAGCGGGAGACATCAGCCTCACAGGGTTTTTTTTATTTTGTGTAAAGAAATCTTCCCAATCTAGACTAAAATATAAGGAAAGTTTTGACCTAAATGTCCTTCTGTAACCGTGTGGTTATCCCTTGAAATCGACGCATACTGCACACTGAAATGCCTACTGGCTTCTAGAGGTAATTTGAATTTGATTAAGATATCTACAGTTTCAATCGTTTCGCTTAGGAAAGGAATACATGGCCTGGGTTAATTCACTACAGAGACATTTTAAAAATAAACGGTGTACCTCCAGTCAAAACAGTTTTGTTATTAATTTCCGACTATTAGAATCTTACGTTGCTTGCAAACTAATACTTAATTGCACAATGGAGCTATGCACAGTGGCCCAGTGAGTAATGGGCAAGAATTTTTCCGAAGAGAAACAGAGTTCCCATGTACACGTTGATGTGCGCGTAAAAGAACCCGATAGGAAGTTAAACCCCACCACCTCATTTATCTCCATTTCCAATATACAATCCTCTTGACATCACCGTTTCGTCTACTCCGTGTGATATTTATTTAAAGTAGCTAAGTCTTTAACTCAATATCATCCAAAGTCTTACACGTTGAAAATACGAATTATTTGCCAATTCAAATCAACATTGATGTTGTGATCTTACCAGGAAAAGGTAGGCTTCTGATATCCAATATTTAATACAAAATAAATATTTTACCATTGGTACACGAATCGTGTACCATAGTGCGCTGTATCGTCATTTGTAACAAGTAAACAGAATGAACGAGGCTAGGCACATTCCACAACTCATGTCAAACGGTGACGCCATATCATATCTGCAGAGCATGCGCAATAGATTGGAATAACCAGACGCTTGAAATTGCTATTCGGTTTAGACTCATGCCGTATTTCGCTGGGCATATCTGATTTGAAATTAAGAGTCCAAACGGAAACAATTGAATGTAAATCAGTTTATATATAATCAGATTATATTATTGTATACGTTGCGACCCATTTCAATCAATTTCTAGGTCCCAAATATTAACGATTTAGCTCCTTTAAGTTTAAAATGCAATTTTTAAATTGATAAATATATTATATTGACGGGTAAAACTTTTAATTGATGAATTTTTTTGTATATTGACAGATACAGTTTTTTAAAAAGAATCATAACTATGGTAAAGCGGCGAATTATCGTGCGAACAGTTTTTTACCAGATGAGATAGACTATCCCGTAGGCCTGACTTTATTGTGGGGACTTAAGGAACAAGATCTATCAAGTTGCCATTTCAGTGATGTTAAATGTAAGGGTACGGTACATTTTGATGACAACTTTGACCCAAACTCAGTTGAAGCACAGAAATCTTATCAGGTACAACAAAGCATGTTCACAACGTTTGTCAAGGTTATCGACATAATTTGTTGATTATTTTTAGAGCCACGTTACGATGAAACATTTCTGTACGGGAGACCATGAGAGTCAATCAAATGAAAAAAAAACCCCATGATTATCTCGTAATTATGAGATAATCAGAATGTTTTAAAGATCGCCACCAAGATTAAATTAAAGAATGATATTAATGGGAGATAGGAAATTATTTCATTTCATTGACCATAATGGTCTTCCGTACCTCTGCCCTTTCCTGAATTGTGGCCTGAGCTCCTTTCTGCACAATCAAGAATAATAATTATGATTTTTGATCAGCCCCGTCCGTATATAACTGTTAATTCATTCGCGACTGACCACAGTTTTATGGATAGACATAGTTTAATGAGAGCATGGCCTTAGTGAGAGTTTGTGCAATTTGAGGTGTATATGTATCATATGGGTTGCCTCGCCATGGTCCTTTGATAACGTTAGGGAGTTTCTAAATGATGGTGTTGATTATTTGTTTGTTGTAGAAGTTATGTGACAAACTCTATACTATGTCAGAAGAAGAATCAAGCAGACTGAAAGTTAAACGCCATCCTCTAACCAATAAGCCCGTGATGCACTGTTTTGCTAAAAATTTAAACGAATTTTTAAAGGTAATGTCCCACACACCCATTTTAGTTTAGTCTAGATCTACAACGGTTGTGGCTACATGATTTTGGTACTGAAGGGGATGTTATAACTAAATAAAACCTGCATGGTTTAGACGACAATTAGGAGAATGGCCAAATTATTAGAATTTAAAAAATGTTCTATGCATGTATATCGTGACGACTATAGCGTTAAAAGCCAGGGGGGGGGGGGGGAGGATACTCAGTTAATAACGGTTAACTAAAATTAGAAATAGTCCATCATTTTTAATGGGTTCAACAAAATATTAAATTTTTGGAAAGTTTTGTGTGAAAAGTTAGGACCTCTAAAGTATTAATAAGGTTTCATAAATCGAGGTTCACAGCTTTCTCTCAATAAAGTAAAAATCATGTTAAACAACATACCATGATTATTGAGGAATTTACCGTGTAGCTGAGGTAAGGAATGTTGAGAAGGAATGTCTTTTTATCAGTGAAACGAGTACGACCCCTCTCTGTCGGTTAGCTATCGACTATTATTTCCAATATACGACCGGGAACAAAACGAAATTCTATACAGGGAAGGCCCACGAGGATATTATTCATTTACGCCTTATATCCTTGTATTACAGTTGGATACACAGGTAACAGGCCTCGATACATCGTTACCTTGGGATTACAATAAAACTCGAGACTTTGTAAAGATGAGGTCACCATTGATATACAATATAACGGGCATGAATTTAACTTCTGTTCCTGTCTTAGATGTAAGTTTCAAAAATTTTATTTTATACATTTCTCAATGTTATTCGCAAGATTGTTTCGGTTTATCTATGCCTTTAGGGTATAATACGTGTTCATGTATGTGCCGTGTACCAAACTCGTGTTCCAATTACTATATGTTATGGACTCGGTTATGTTTGCTCTTTCTATATATATAAAATTGCATAAAACAAATCTGTATACACACCGGAAATGTTTAGTCTAGCTGACCTCTATATACTTTCATAATTGATCAGATACAGTCTTTTACAGCAGATATTTACTCACGAATTCTCATTAATTTTATTGTACCTTCACATTATGTGGTAGTATATTACTGTTCTTGCTTGTTGATATCAAAATATAAATCAATTAAATTGTCATCACAGGTGGGCCTATATTTCGTTTTCATATAATTTAGTCTACATGTTACAACGAAACATCTGTGTTTATTTAATTTCAGATAGCGATAAGTTATTGGTTAAATAATAGATTTCTGATGAACCAAACAAAAGATTATAAATTCTTCAATGATTTAATAGGAGAACAAGAAGGGCCATATTCTACCAGTATTATACCAGTTCCTAGTAAGTAAATCAGTATATATAAGGACTTTACAAATCAGCAGGGGGTAGTTGTCTAACTAAAACTTTAAGGCATGACTGCTTCCTGGTAAATCCGTAGTTTGTCAGTATGGACAACTGTCGTTGAATTAGTGTATACAAATTAATTACAAGGAATACTTACATATGAGGAGATGGATAGTTAATCAAAACTTCTTATACATTTAAATCCATTTAGCATCTTCAATACAATATCCCTAAATCCAAGGATTAGGATATCCCAAAATCTGCATGCCCGTAAAACTGAAAAATATATTAAACATATTAAAGTGGACATTATACTCTCTGTGTAACATTTTACTTTAGGGATACCGAATTTCATAGCCAATGGACAGGAACATGTAATCTACACCGTCTATGATGTACTGAACAGGCGGACTAAATTGGATTTAAACAGCATAAAATGAAAATACACGAAAAAAAAGAATCACCCTTGCTTGAAAATGACATTGACAGTATATTTATTGACTTTAAATAGTAAGATCCATGAATAATAAAGTTAATGCAATACAACTGATAATCTCTTTCCCCGTTATGGACTCAAAATATCCATAACAGTTTCGCTTCCAATCGGTCCACGTTTCATGGCTGAATATTCGACACTTCAATCCAAAACTAGAACTTGGAATTAACGAGGGCATTATTAAATAAAGATTGGACTGACATTAAGGACCACTAGAAATAATAATGGCACAATTAAAACGTTCCTACAGCAGCAGACGGCATGTTTTATAATTCGGTTTTTCTTATATCGTCTAGATGTAAAAGTCGGCAATAAGATCAAAAGTCTGGGTATTAAATTGATATTAACTATTAACCCTTTAACAACGGGATTTAAAGATGGAATAACACTGGTAGAAGCTTGGGAGGATTTTATGATTGAACAGGTATTAGTCTTTATACATTTTTCTCTCTCAATACTACAGGATTCACGTACAGTTCGTAACACCATTTTTTTTATCGTAGAACCATAACAAAGTTTTATTGAAATCTACATAATAGCACATTAAACTGTATAGGTTCATCATGGGCGCAGATCCCGATGGTGACACCGGGACGCGTCCCCACCAATATTTTTATTGGTGGGGACATGCTATACTGTGTCCCCACCACTTATTTCCGATGTTTTGCTTTTGTTTATTTTTTGAAATTGAAATCATTCCTGAGCTTTAATTGCCATTTAAGAAGGCGTAGAGTTGGTCCCAGGCACTTGAGGCCAGGGTCCTTGAAGTTGTACAGCGGCACCCGGTGACCGATTTTTATTTAAAAAGGAATAAGTGATAATTCATATCATAACAGTAAATAATTAAAATATTCCATAGGGATTATAATAAATATAATATGTATATCATGTAGGTGTGCATATCTGATACGCTGGGTATTAAAGGGTTAAGGAATAACTGAGATTTTGTTTTTATCTGGTATACTTGATGTAAAATGTTACATTTATTTCAATTGGGATTGAATATTGATATGTTTAGCTGTGTGTGTGGCTTGTTTTAGTTTATATAAATTAGAATTGTTTGCCAGAAAATGATGCTGAAAATGCCCACAGGGCGTTTTAGAGCGTCTAGTTTTCAAAAAAATTTCGGGGCAGAACCCCCGAACCCCCCTCTGTACCAATAGTCGCCCGCGCAAGGAGTGTCCCCGCCACTAATTTTAGGCCATCTGCGCCCCCGAGGTTCATTCAGGAAAGTTTATAGAAATATTAAAATAAATCCAGATAATACAAGCGACTAATTATATTATAACTAAAACCAACGTTATCCAGGAATTGTCACAACTAACTTTATTGCATTAAAAAATGTATAAAATAGATGCACACCGATCATTGAATAAAGTGGGCCCTAAAATAACAGTCGTCAATGAAGCCAGCTGCTCTGTTACCGAAACGTCTTGCTCTCAGTCGTATGGTTACCAGACGCTCTGCTTGAAACAAAAGTACTCAATATTTTTTACATATCATGCAAGGAATATTTACTGGTATTACTAATAATATTTTGTTTTAGAAATCAACCATGCCTGCATCCTTACAAGGTGGTTTCCAGGTGGGGTGGAAGATTTGGCATTGGTTTTACGTTCAAAGGGTATGGAGTTTAAATTAATTGTAACACTATCTTAGTGATAACAGAGATCAGTTTAGTAAATATAGGATTTATTTACATCGGGTATATAAAACAGCTACAGTTACATACATACAAAAATACGGGAACTTAAACTATACAGGAACTAGACTACGATAGGAACACATATAACTATATTAAATCCACCATTCTGCCCCTCTGCCAAGGCAGCGGCTAAACTCGGGTGAGTCCATACGCCAGTCTCCCCGTCTCCGCTCGTTTAGTAAATATAGGATTTATTTACATCGGGTATATAAAACAGCTACAGTTACATACATACAACAACAATACGGGAACTTAAACTATAAAGGAACTAGACTACGATAGGAACACATATAACTATATTAAATCCACCATTCTGCCCCTCTGCCAAGGCAGCGGCTGAACTCAGGTGAGTCCATACGCCAGTCTCCCCGTCTCCGCTCGTTTCTAGTCGTCTTTGGTCGTTTTTAGTCGTCTTTTGGTCGTCTGCCTAACTGTCAGTAAACTCCTGATTATATAGCACCGGAGAATAGATAAGACACATCATCATACATGCAATTGTCTCTTTATCACGCCATGGTATGCTTACTGACCAGTGCATATTCCTTTGAAGTCATGTGGAGTTTGCACACAGAGTGTATGTAGTTTGTAAATGACATATGGGATTAATTACTTATCTAATTAGATCATAGCCAATTCGTGCCTTAAAAGAAGTTTATACAGAGTTGAAAAGTCAATATTATCAAAAACCAGCTGAGGTCATACAGTTCTAAGCACCTAAATGACCGTTTAATTTGATGAAAGTTATAGAGTACTATATTACATAATATCTATTTTAATCATTATTTTTGATGTTTTTTTCTCGGAATTTTCATATTTTTCCTGTCTGTCTGCCCGCATGCGAGTTAATCTACGCGCTAAATTCGGGGAGGCGGAACAAATTCAAAACAAAAATGAATTTTGCCAGCGCTCAAGAAGTTACTGCCGGGCTTAAGATGCCCTTACGAATGGCCCGATGTTTTTACGACCAGAGCCGAATTTGAACATTTACTCTATCGTGTGTCCACCTGGTGTCAATTTCGGGACAGTGTGACGCCCGCTCGAAGGGCTTGTCAATGCGATATTATTGTCACCTTCGGTATCCCGTTCCGTCTGTTGGTCAAAGTGTTTGGTATTTTTTACCAATATTTTTAAAGTAAATGCTATAACGGGTATTTTATTCATTATTTTAACTAGTAAATGTATAAGATTTTGATGGTATTATATAAAACAATTGTTCTACTAGAATTATTTCAACTAGTAAATGTATTGTATTCTATAAAACTGCTATAAGTGCATATTACTAGGATTATTTCAACTAGTAAATGTATAGTATTTTGATGGTATTATACAAAAATGCTATAACGTGTATAGAAAATGTATACTGTTTAGCGTATCATTGCTTTAGTGTGTTACGTTTAATTTGCAATGACACGTCTTCAACATGATGAACGTCTACGTGCTATTCCCATGCTTCAAATGGACTCTACACAGCGAGCAGTAGCCAACATGCTTAATGTGTCACAGTCTGTGATCAGCAGACTGTGGAACCGGTACCAACAAGCACACATTGTTGATGATAGACCTCGTTCAGGTCGTCCTAGAGCCACTACACAAGCCCTGGATCGATACATTCGTACACAGGTCCTGCGAAATCGAGGACAAACGGCCAATCAGCTCTCTGTAAACTTGTACCAAGTTACAGGAATTCGAGTTACACCCCAAACGATTAGAACTCGGCTACATGCAGCCCATTTGTGTGCGCGACGACCGCGTGATGTGCCTCCATTAACTCGCCAGCACATGGCAAACAGGCGTCAATGGTCTAGGCAGCGTAGAATTGGGGTAATCGTCGATTTCTCTGGATTTCACCGATAGGCGTGCTCGCGTTTGGAGGTGTGTAAATGGGCGTCATGCTAACGTTAACGTCAGACAGCATGACAGATTCGGGCGTAGGTATGTTATGGTGTGGGGAGGAATCACCATGACTGGTAGGACGGACTTGCATATTGTTCAAGGAAGTGTCACTAGTGTGTACACTACCGTGACCACATCCATGAGTCCTGACCTTTCCCCTATAGAGCATGTCTGGGACATGATCGGGAGACGTGTTCGTCGACGTCAACGTCAACCGACAACACTGCAAGAATTGGCCGTTGCACTGCAAGAATAATGAGTCAGATTGCCCCAAATCGTGATTGGACGGTTGATTAGGAGCATGCCACGACGAATTGCTGAATGTCTGAGGATTGGTGGAGCAATTACTCATTGTTAAGACAAAAATCACTTTTAACGGTGTATCTCTTTGCGAGTGAAATAGAGCCGTCAGATTGGCCGCCTATATGAACTGTTTATGTTCATGTGTAGGCAATTGGCCTGTTATTAACATACATTGGTTACCTCTAATACAAACAGCAGTGCATTTCCGCAGTTTTGTATTGTTTCTGAATATCTCCTACTTTTTTTGAAGAGTATATATCGTATATAATATTTTTCAGGTATTATATGAAAATGCAATAATGGGTATTTTACTAGGATTATCTTTAACCACTATAATATTACTGATATCTATACAGAATATCATAACAAGTCTTTTAGCGTCAGTTACTATCGCCATGGTAACGATTTGTGTTATTGGAGTTATCCCTCTTCTAGGATGGAAACTAGGGGTAAGTAAGAGACGAAAACAACCTCCACGAAGTATACACCTGCTCTGATTTATAAAATTACAATTTATTTCAATTCTAATTTGTTTAATTAAGCTGGGATGGGGGGGGGGAGCTGCCAATTTGCTATTTTGTTGGTAAGACATGAATTTGGAATTCCGCATTTGGAATTTGGAATTTTGGAATTTGGAATGAGCCCTCTGGACTTTCTAGAATACTATACAATAATTGTTGACGTTGAATGAGTTTGCTTCCAAGATGTCTTTTATTATATTGTGAGAAATATAACCGCAATTAATTGCTTGAACGTGCATTATGTCGCCCAATTATATAAAACCTCTACTAAAATGTTTAAAGTTTTGTGTCATGTACGTAAATTGTTTTAAATACACGTCACACCAGTTTTATCATAATATACTGTAATGTACCAATATTAATTGTTGGGCATATTTGTTCTTTTTTGTGATTTTGTTACTAATTGTACATTACGTTTAAATGAAGTATCCCCTTATGATACCGTTAATGTTGCTAGGAAGCTATTTTCAATCAGGTACTTATATTTTTAGACAAAACAGTTCCTCATTATATTTATCTCTAAATATGTAGGTCTATTCATGAACTTCCTATCACCCGTTCTTTTCTTTTTCAGGTTCTCGTTTCCCTTAATATGTGTCTTGTAGTGGGTTTATCAGTGGATTATGTTGTTCATCTGGCGGAAGGATACACGATGTCAAAACATAAAGACCGGAAGTCACGAGTTCAAGATTCTTTGGAAACCATGGCAACGTCTGTGTATTCTGGTGCATGTACAACGCTCGGAGCTTCAGTTTTTATGTTATTTTCGCAAATAATTTTCTTTTTTCAATTTGGAATATTTATGTTTTTTACCATTGGTTTTTCTATTTTGTTTTCATTAGGACTATTTATTACTTTAATGGGTACAATAGGACCGGAGAATGATACTGGTGATATCAAAGCTATATTCAGGAAATTACGTCATTTTGTCTTAAACCGTAGCACCCACTGTGTTGAAACATGACACTATAAAGTATCCCAGCAGTTTGTATAAAATGAAGCCATTTTTTTTATTTCCGGGTGATTATTTAGTATTTAAACATAGATATGAAAATGTGGTAGATCTGCTTATCAATAGTATGTATTTGACTAGCTGTTCATTTTATATATTTCGTTTAATTTATATCTTATGCAAGGTACACCATATAAAACTAGAGCATCGCTAACGCTGCAATATACGTCCACATTTCTGCTTTCATTGATATGGTACTTTTTATACGCCCACATTGGAAATGTGGTCGTATATTGCCGTACGTCGTCCACAATTTGATGTGAACACTCTACAGACTACATTTATCACCTGATTGTTTTGAAATTGATATATACTATTCAAAAAAAGTAGGGGATATTTGATTTTGGGGGCATAATACTAAATTATGCAAATGACTACGAAAAAAGTCACTATAGAACCTAACAGAAGAAACATTTCCAGTTACATGTGACGCCCAAACGCACCAATAGCTACCGCATGGAATGCAGGTGATGCTTGGGATCATCATGGGGGTCCAACCCAAGATTTGCACGACTCTGACTTTGAATGTTACAGTCATTGTGGCATTGAATTCCAGGGTGGAAACATCAGTTTAATTGTTTTAGTGACCAGAAAACAAATTTTGATATGCGTCGGCTTACCCAAAATGAAAGGTTACGTGCCCTTGGCATGCTACAGATCGGCACAACACAGGCGGTTGTGGCGCGGACGATGAATGTTTCTCAGTCTGTCATAAGCAGGCTATGGTCCAGATACCGTGATACACAATCTGTACAGGACAGACCACGCTCAGGTCGACCAAGGGCGACAACTCAAGCCCAGGATCGATTTATCCGTACCTTGGCCTTGAGAAATCGTGTCATCACAGCAAATCAGATCAGCGCTCGTCTTCAAACAGACACTGGTGTGAGAGTGAGTGGCCAGACGATTCGGAATCGACTGCATAGGGGTCACCTTCGCGCCCGACGTCCTCGCGTGATCCCTTGTTTGAGAGATCATCACATTCAGGCAAGACGTCGTTGGTGTAGGGATCGTCAACACTGGGATAATCGACGCTGGATTAATGTGATGTTTTCAGATGAGTCAAGGTTCACTGTTGATTTTTTGGACAGACGTAGGAGGGTGTGGCGTCGTCGAAACGAGCGCTTCCAAGACGTTAACGTCATCAGACATGATCGATTTGGGGGTGGTTCTGTTATGGTGTGGGAAGGCATCACTGTTGCTGGAAGAACGGCTTTACATGTTGTTGCAGGGCGTGTTACAGGCCAGTACTACCGGGACAACATCTTGGCAGTCCATGTTGTGCCGTTCGCACGACGTCATGGCCGCCGTTTCATCTTCCAGGATGACAACGCAAGATATCACAGGGCCAGGATCGTTACAGGTTACCTCCAACAACAGAACATCACCACATTACCTTGGCCAGCACTGAGTCCCGACCTCTCCCCTATCGAGCATGTCTGGGACATGCTTGGACAGAGGTTACGTCAACGTCAACAACGTCCTGCCAATGTCCAAGAACTTGCTGCTGCGTTGCAACAGGAATGGGACAATCTGGACCAAAATGACCTTAGACGTCTCATTAGGAGTATGCCACGTCGGATCAATGCTTGTTTGGCAAACAGAGGAGGATTTACCCGTTACTGACTTGGTTGTGATGCTGTGGTAACTTTGCTGTTTGACCCCGGGTATCATTTTACCCTTATAATGGTCAGTCTGTGCCTTACTTAGTCTAACGATCATTTGGAATAAATCGATGAATGTGAACTTCATTTCATTTTGTCATTTGTTTCTTCGTCAGTTTCATTAGGTGACTTTAATAACACTTAAAAATCAAATATCCCCTACTTTTTTTGAATAGTATATGTTGTTTACATTAGTGAGATGAAGACACCTATTCATTTTCAGCGATTTCCGATAATTACTTCCAAAGTTATGGCCCTTGATCACTTTGAAAAATCGTGTGGACGATCTAGAGGCTAAAGTTAATATCCGATTCACTTTAAATTTATGCACAGTGTTTAAGATCATGAGATGAAGAAACCTATTGATTTCAACTATATCCGATAATTACTGCCAGAGTTATGGTCCTTGGTCACTTTGAAATATCTTGTGGACGCTCTAGAGGCTAAAGTTAATATCCGAGTGTTTAAGGTCGTGAGACGCAGAAGCCTAGTGATTTTCAGTGATTTCAGTTAATTACTTCCAGAGTTATGGCCCTTGACCACTTTGATTATCTTGTGGATGCTCTAGAGACCAAAGCTATCATCCGATTGACTTTAGATTGATAGACAGAGTTTAAGGGTCTTGAGACGAACAAGTATATTGATTTTCAACGAATTTTGATATAACTAGAACAGCTAAATCCATGATATTAAATGTTTCGTATATTAAACGTTAGCATGGGGCAGAACTAAAAGCCAAACAGATTCTAATGATTAAGTAATGATAATTACTTAATGAGTTATTACTCTTAATCAGATTTTAGTGTATTATAAATGTTTCATTACCGACAATAGAACAAATATGCGACAACTCTTGTTGACTTTCCGGACGACTTAGCTGCTGTGGGCGTATGTTTCGTTGCCTGGCAACCTATCTTTTAAAATGAAGAGAATGAAATATGACAAGAGGCAGAGGAGGATAGGCGTTGAGTTTGTTTTGCCAAATTTGGAGACAAAATATTAACAAAAAGGCGAGTGTGCACCAAAATGAATAGTTGTTGTCTTTATGGTATAAGGAATAGATATGCAAAGTTCCAAGTTGATCCCTTCAGAATTGCAGCCTGTAGATGATAAACACAAAACTTGGGCGTGGCTCTGCCCATGGGGGTTGGGTTTGGAACAATATAAATTATTGTTATTGAAATGATTAATATGCTAAATTTGAACAAAATCTGTTAATTATAGCAACATGTAGACTATTTATAGACAAAAACCCCTAGGGGTCAGAACATGCATCAACATCAATAGTTGCCGTCCTTAGGGTATAAGGAATAAGTATACAAAGTTTCAAGATAATTCATTCAGAATTGTGACCTTTGGACGCTAAACACATAAATTGGGCGTGGCTCTAACCCTGAGGGTCGTGACATTCACCAAAATCAATAGTTACCATACTTAGGCTATAAGGAATACGTATGATCCATTCAGAATTGCGGTCTGTATAAGATAAACATAAAAAAACTTGGTCTTGGCTCTGCCCCTGGGGGTCGGGACATGCACCAAAATCAATAGTTGCCGCCCTTAGGCTATAAGGAATATTTATGTCAAGTTCCAAGACGATCCATTAAGAATTGTGGCCTGTAGGCAATACACAGACAGGCATTCACCAAATAGGGATCATCATTATGGTATACAATCTAATTAAAATATAGATCTATATATTTCGTTTTGTTTTTTATACTTTCGATGGCCTACACTACATGTAGATCTAGCAAGTTATAGTGGGAGTTCACGTTCTATGACGTCAGGTACCAAGCAAGCGACTTTCGATTAACAAATTAGCGACCGCCATGTATTTTTTTTATCTACTTTTGCTTTGTTTTGATTTCTATTGCCGCTAATGTCTACCCACAGTTCCGCGCAAAAAAGGTCAAACGCTCGATTCAACAGACCATTTGATTGGCTGACCCCTTACTTCAAGCAGAACACGAGTTAAAAAACAACGCTTCCAGATCCAAGTGTAGTAAAGACAAGTAAAATCGAAATTTTGAACTATAAAAACGAAACGAAATTGGATCTGTGGTTTAATCAGATTGTATGGTATAAGGAATAGGTATGCAAAGTTTCAAAAGAATTTCGGCCTGTAGTCCATACACGGACACACACAAAAATTGAGCGTGGCTCTGTTGCAGGGGGTCAGACATGCACAATAAATAATAGAGATTTGTCATCCTTAGGGAATAAGGAATAAGTATGAAAAGTTTTCAAAACAATTGACTAAGAATTCCGGCCTGTAGGCGACACACAGACACACAAAAAGAGAATGGACGTGGCTCTGACCCTAGGGGTTGGGCATGTACTACAAACAATAGGGGTGTTCCTTGGGGCATACGGAATAAGTATGCAAAGTTTCAAGATGATACGTTAAGCCAATGCAACCGCTTGCAACCCGTTGCTAACCTGTTGCCATCGAAGGTGCAACCTATCAAGGTGCTTGCCCCGCTTGAAAAATTCGATTATAATTATAAAGAGGAGGGATAACATTGGGGCACAACAAATCATTAGGAGTTCAGTCCCCCAGAAATAATGTACACAAAATTACTCAGTATGGACTTGGAAACATGCTTAATAGTCCACACTAAGCGTTTATTTATGAGCGAAACCGCCGTCAACACGGCGTAGTAATCTAGACGTCATCTCGCCACACCATGCTCCGTGTTTCGTTGCCGTGCTTCGTAGTACTAGGCTATAGTTGTGTATCAATGCTGCATCTTCAATCTTGTTTATATGTGCGGGACAATCAAGTACGACCCCAATTAGTAGTTGCAGTGTTTATTTCCATGTGTGTCATAAATAGGACTAGGACAAAGTGCGAGTGGCAGGACCGAAGCAAGTGACTATTACAATCAAACAACAGGTTTCTGGTCTACTGTAGTTTATAACTAAACTAACGAACATGGCCGCTCGTTAGCGGGTATAAAACAAGTGCATTACATAAGTAATTTTTGAACTATTATAAATGGATGGCGATAACTAGACGGGGCTAAATTCAGGTAAGGTTTTATAATCTGTTATAGTTATACGCAGATCCGATTATCATACTTGTTCTAACGGTAATGTAAGAAGGAAAGATGCCACTCGCGTTGGTCCCTACCAGTCAATGAAACTTTGTACTAGGCCTATCTCTCGTCCGACACATTAGCGTCGTCGCCACACTCTACACCCACGGCACGATCGTGAGATGACTAGTTGTATGGACATGATAACATAGGGCACCTCGTTTCATTCAAAGTAATCACAAAAAAAGGGTTTGTGATTCTGTCACAGGAACGTACCAGGTCTGACACTTGTAGAAAGAGGTCACTAATCTAAAAATAGAATGATAACACAAGACAGGCTTCATTGGGAGTAGACGTTGTTTACTACGGTGTAAATATATTATAAATAGTGATAAAATAGCCATGTGGCTATTACAATATGAAAGGGTCCACTATAAATATGCTGTAATAGTAATAAATATGCTGTAATAGTAATAAATATGCTGTAGAAGTAATAAATAATAGTAATAAATATGCTGTTATATTAATAAATATGCTGTAATAGTAATAAATATGCTGTGATAGTAATCTATAGAAAATATTACTGTTGGGACCAACCTATAGAACATCCTGCTGTGAAGGCCAATCTGAACTAACATAAATGAGTACAGAAAAATCCTGCTGCTGTGAGAGCCAATCTCCGATATAAATACGGTGTTTGTGGGTGGTGGGTGGGGGGGTGTATAGAATATTTATTTCTTTCGTCACTTTTTTGTGTATATTGGGGGCGGGATTAATGGCGTTATGGGTGACAGATTGTCAAAGTTAGCGATATAAATAAGGCTATATTAGTTTATTTTTCTACTTTAAACTCCTGGCCTGGAATAGCAGGTAAACGGGTTTTAACATTTATGTAGTAGTCAATGTGGTCTGCCCCCAATTGTTCAAATTATTCCCCTTGATATTTCGAAGGTGAAGGCTGGCAGCGGACAATGTGTGTTATTTCTAAATTCCCTATTTTCGAGTTGATTTTGGCTTGTATACCGTCTTGTCGCCTCACATTTTGTCGTAACTTCTACTTTTCGACTTTTCGACTTTCGTGTTCTGAAGAGGCGAAAAGTAGAAATTATGAATGGTAGTTATAGGCTTCCATACTTATGCCCCAAGGAACATCCCTATTGTTTGTAGTGCATGCCCAACCCCCAGGGTCAGAGCCACGAACCATTTTCTTTGTGTGTCTGCGTGTCGCCTACAGGCCGCAATTCTAGGTCGATTGTCTTGAAAACTTGTCATACTTATTCCTTATGCCCTAAGGATGACTGGCCTCTATTATTTTTGGTTCATGCTCGACCCCCTGGAACAGAGCCACGCCCAATTTTTGTGTGTGTCTATGTTTGGGCTACATGCCGAAATTCTTAACAGATCCTTTTGAAACTTTGCATACCTATTCCGTATACCCTAAAGATGATCCCTAATGTTTTTGGTGAATGCCTGGACCCCGGGGACAAGGCCACACCCATGTTTCTTTGTGTGTCTGTGTACAGGCCACAATTCTTAATGGATCGTCTTGGAACTTGACATAAATATTCCGTATAGCCTAAGGGCGGCAACTATTGATTTTGGTGCATGTCCCGACCCCAGGGGGGGGGGGGCAAAGCCAAGCCCAATTCGTTTTTATGTTTATCGTATACAGGCCGCAATTCTGAATGGATCATATGTATTCCTTATAGCCTAAGGGTGGTAACTATTGATTTTGGTCAGAGCCACGCCCAATTTATGTGTTTAGCGTCCGAAGGCCACAATTCTGAATGAATTATCTTGGAACTTGGTATACTTATACCGTATACCATGAGGACGGCAACTATTGATTTTGGTGCATATCCTGACCCCTAGGGGTTTTTGTCTGTAAATAGTCTACATGTTGCTATAATTAACAGATTTTGTTCAAATTCAGCATATTAATCATTTCAATAACAATAATTTATATTGTTCCAAATTCAACCCATGGATTTACCTGTTCCAGTTATCAACATTCATTGAAAATCAATATACCTGTTCGTCTCAAGACCCTTAAACTCTGTTTATCAATCTAAAGTCAATCCACAAGATTTTTCAAAGGGATCAAGGGCCATAACTCTGGAAGTAATCATCTGAAATCACTGACAATCACTAGGTCTCTGCGTCTCACGACCTTAAACACTGTGTATAAATCTGCAGTCAATCGGATATTAACTTTAGCCTCTAGAGCGTCCACAAGATATTTCAAAGTGCTCCAGGGCCATAATATACGACGGCAATATACGATCACATTTCCAATGTGGGCGTATAAAAAGTACCATATCAATGAAATCAGAAATGTTGACGTATATTGCAGCGTTAGCGAAGCTCTAGTTTTATATCGTGTACCTTGCATAAGATATAAATTCAACGAAATATATAAAATGAACAGCTAGTCAAATACATACTATTGATAAGCAGATCTACCACATTTTCAAATCTATGTTTAAATACTAAATAATCACCCGGAAATAAAAAAAATGGCTTCATTTTATACAAACTGCTGGGATACTTTATAGTGTCATGTTTCAACACAGTGGGTGCCACGGTTTAAGACAAAATTGCGTACTTTCCTGAATATAGCTTTGATATCACCAGTATCATTCTCCGGTCCTATTGTACCCATTAAAGTAATAAATAGTCCTAATGAAAACAAAATAGAAAAACCAATGGTAAAAAACCTAAATATTCCAAATTGAAAAAAGAAAATTATTTGCGAAAATAACATAAAAACTGAAGCTCCGAGCGTTGTACATGCACCAGAATACACAGACGTTGCCATGGTTTCCAAAGAATCTTGAACTCGTGACTTCCGGTCCTTATGTTTTGACATCGTGTATCCTTCCGCCAGATGAACAACATAATCCACTGATAAACCCACTACAAGACACATATTAAGGGAAACGAGAACCTAAAAAAGAAAAGAACGGTGATAGCAAGTTCATGAATAGACCTATATATTTAGAGATAAATATAATGAGGACCTCTTTTGTCTAAAAATATAAGTACCTGATTGAAAATAGCTTCCTAGCAACATTAACGGTATCATAAGGGGATACTTCATTTACACGTAATGTACAATTAGTAACAAAATCACAAAAAGAACAAATATCCCAAACAATTAATATTGGTACATTACAGTATAAATTGGTGTGACGTGTATTTAAAACAATTTACGTACATGACACAAAACTTTGAACATTTAAGTAGAGGTTTTATATAATTGGGCGGCATAATGCACGTTCAAGCAATTAATTGCGATTATATTTTTCAGAATATAATAAAAGACATCGTGGAAGCAAACTCATTCAACGTCAAAAATTGTATAGTATTCTACGAAAGCCCAGAAGACTCATTCCAAATTCCAAATTCCAAATGCGAAATTCCGAATTCCAAATTCATGTCTTACCAATACAATAGCCCCCCCCCCCACCCCCTCAATTAAACAACTTATGCGACACTTATCTTCTCTGTAGTTGCCATGATGATTGTAATGTCACGTGATTATGTCGAATTTGGAACTTCGAATTTGAAATTTCGAATTTCGAATCTTGTAATTTGGAACGGGTGTTTATCCGGCCCAGGAATCAGATAGGTAAACTAGCACTAATTAGTTGTGTAAAATTACAATTTATTTAAATTCTAATTTGTTTAATTGAGGGGGGTGGGTGATGCCAATTTGCTATTTCATTGGTAAGACATGAATTTGGAATTTCGCATTTGCAATTTGGAATGAGCCTTCTGGGATTTCGTAGTATTCCTAATACATGTACAGTGCATATCAGTGTATAGCATAGTGCTTAATATAAATCAGAGCAGGTGTATACTTCGTGGAGGTTGTTTTCGTCTCTTACTTACCCCTAGTTTCCATCCTAGAAGAGGGATAACTCCAATAACACAAATCGTTACCATGACGATAGTAACTGACGCCAAAAGACTTGTTATGATATTCTGTATAGATATCAGTAATATTATAGTGGTTAAACCTAACCCCAGTAAAATACCCATTATTGCATTTTCATATAATACCTGAAAAATATTACATACGATATATATAATTCTATACCATAATAATATTATACATTTACTTAATAAAATAACTCAAGTAAAATACACGTTATAGCATCGTATTTTATAGAATACAATACATTTACTATTTGAAATAATCCTAGTAGGACACATGTTTTATATAATACCATCAAAATCTTATACATTTACTAGTTAAAATAATGAGTAAAATACCCGTTATAGCATTTACGTATAACACTTTAAAAAATATCAAACACTTTGACCAACAGACGGACAGGGATACCGAAGCTGACAATAATATCACATTGACAAGCCCTTGGAGCGGGCGTCACATTGTCCCGAAATTGACACGATAGAGTAAATGTTCAAATTCGGCTCTGATCGTAAAAACATCGGGCAATTCGTAAGGGCATCTTAAGCCATCGTATGGCTCCGGCAGCAACGTCTTGAGCGCTGGCAAAAATTCATTTTTGTTTTGAATTTGTCCCGCCTCCCTAAATTTAGGGCGTAGATTAACTAGCATGCGGGCTGACAGACAGGAAAAATATGAAAATTCCGAGAAATACTCATCAAAAACACTGTGGCACATTTCAAGATCTAAAAGTAGCAAAGCAGACGGTTAAAAGACGACAGCGATGTTATACGGACCTTTTCCGTATGAAAGCTGTTGGATACGTGCTGCCGTATCCGTCTGCCGTATCACGTATGAGAAATACACACACATTGATGACATCACACGCAAAGTCGATACGGAGACGCAATGCGGACCAGGAATTTACGCTTGCCAAAAGTCTCTAATGCCCAAATACGATGGCCTTATGACGGGCAAAATGAACACACGAATTCAACACGAAAATGAACTTTCGCAAGTTCCTTCTGGAATTTTTTGGCATGCCAAGGATTTTGCCAGGGCCCACAAAGTTGCTGCTGAAGCTTGGAAATCTTCACATTCGGTCATACGATGGCTTAAGATGCCCTCGCAAATGGCACGATGTTTTAACGAGAGACGAATTCACTTTATCGTGTGACTATCTGGTGTCAATTTCGAGAGATCAGGACGGCAGATAAAGCATCTTCCTGAGTCAGTCCCGAGAAACTCTACAGAGCCATCGTGTGGCCTTCGTGTGTCCTGTGGGTATAAACTACTATACAAAATTTACATCTTCGTATTATCTTTGTGCGTGCCATCGTGTGATTTTCTGTAAGCATCGCACTTGCACTTGCTTGCTTTGGTTTTTGACCAGCTTCGGGGCTATCTTCGTGCGAAATTCAAGATTCCATATTCGTATGGCCACCTGGTGTCAATTTCGGGACAGTGTGACGCCAGCATTGTTGAATGGCCGGACCAACAGATAGACAGGGGCAACACTAAATAATATATCAGTTTTTATTTTGATATGAAAGTATGAATTCGGCACAAATAAACAAAATAGATATTATGTAACAAAGTACTCTATAACTTTCATCAAATTAAACCGTCATTTAGGTGCTTAGAACTGTATGACCTCAGCTGGTTTTTGATAATATATGATATTGACTTTTCAACTCTGTATAAACTTCTGTTAAGGCACGAACTGGGTATGATCTAATTAAACATGTAATTAATCCCTAGTCATTTCCAAACTACATAATAATATACTCTGTGTACAAGCTCCACATGACATCAAAGGAATATGCACTGGTCAGTAAGCATACCATGACGTGATAAAGAGACAATTGCATGTATGATAATGTGTCTTATCTATTCTCCGCGCTATATAATCCGGAGTTTACTGATAGTTAGGTAGACGACTGAAGACGACTAAAGACGAGCGGAGACGGGGAGACCGGCGTATGGACTCACCCGAGTTCAGCCGCTGCCTTGGCAGAGAGGCAGAATGGTGGATTTAATACAGTTATATGTGTTCCTGTCGTAGTCTAGTTCCTATATTTACTAAACTGATCTCTGTTATCACTAAGATAGTGTTACAACTAATTAAAACTCCATACCCTTTGAACATAAAACCAATGCCAAACCTTCCACCCCACCTGGAAACCACCTTGTAAGGATGCAGGCATGGTTGATTTCTAAAACAAAATATTATTAGTAATACCAGTAAATATTCCTTGAATGATATGTAAAAAATATTGAGTACTGTTGTTTCAAGCAGAGCTTCTGGCAACCATACGACTGAGAGCAAGGCGTTTCGGCAACAGAGCAGCTGGCTTCATTGACGACTGTTATTTTAGGGCCCACTTTATTCAATGATCGGTGTGCATCTGTTTTATACATTTTCTAATGCAATAAAGTTAGTTGTTGTGACAATTCCTGGATAACGTTGGTTTTAGTCATAATCTAATTAGTCACTTGTATTATCTGGATTTATTTTAATAGTGCAAGACTAAATCGTTTCTTTTTTCTATAAACTTTCCCGAACGAACCTACACCGTTTAATGTGCTATAATGTAGATTTCAATAAAACTTTGATATGGTTCTACGGTAAAAAAAAAAATGGTGTTACGAACTGTACGTGAATCCTGTAGTATTGAGAGATAGAAATGTATAAAGACTAATACCTGTTCAATCATAAAATCCTCCCAAGCTTCTACCAGTGTTATTCCATCTTTAAATCCCGTTGTTAAAGGGTTAATAGTTAATATCAATTCAATACTTAGACTTTTGATCTTATTGCCGACTTTAACATCTAAACAATATAAGATAAACAGAAATATGAAACATGACGTCTGCTGCTGTAGGGACGTTTTACTTGTGCCATTATTATTTCTAGTGGTCCTTAATGTCAGTCCAAGTCTTTATTTAATAATACCCTCGTTAATTCCAAGTTCTAGTTTTGGATTAGAGTGTACAATTTTCGGCCATGAAACGTGGACCGCCATGAGTTGTGGTGCATTAACTTTATTATTCACGGATCTTACTATTTAAAGTCAATAAAGCATACTGTCCATGTAATTTTCAAGCAACGGTGACTTTTATTTTTTTCGTGTATTTTATTTTATGCGGTCTATCGAATTTAGTCCGCCTGTTCAGTAGTTTCATAGACGGTGTAGATTGGATATTCCTGTCCATTTGCTATGAAATTCAGTATTCCTAAAGTAACATGTTAAACAAAGATTATAATGTCTATTTTAATATGTTTAATATATTTTTCAGTTTTAAGGATATGCAGATTTTGGGATACCCCAATCCTTGGATTTAGGGATATTGTATTGGAGATGCTAAATGGATTTAAATGTATAAGTTTTGTTTAACTATCCATCTCCTCATCTGTAAGTATTCCTTGTAATTAATTTGTATACAATAACCCAACGACAGTTGTCCATACTGACAAACTACGGATTTACCAAGAAGCAGTCATGCCTTAAAGTGTTAGTTAGACAGTCGCCCTCCTGCTGATTTGTACAATCCTTATATATATTGATTTACTTACTAGGAACTGGTATAATACTGGTAGAATATGGCCCTTCTTGTTCTCCTATTAAACCATTGAAAAATTTATAATCTTTTGTTTGGTTCATCAGAAATCTATTATATAACCAAAAACTTATCGCTATCTGAAATTAAAAAAACACAGATGTTTCGTTGTAACATGTAGACTATGAAAACGAAATATAGGCCCACCTGTGATGACAATTTAATTGATTTATATATTTGATATCAACAAGCAAGAACAGTAATATACTACCACATAATGTGAAGGTACAATAAAATTAATGAGAATTCGTGAGTAAATATCTGCTGTGAAAGATTGTATCTGATCAAGTATGAAAGTAAATAGAGGTCAGCTAGACTAATTGGTTCCTTAATAAACTTTTCGGTATGTATACAGATTTGTTTTATGCAATTTTATATATACTGAGCGCCATGGAAAACGCATCACTATTTTCCCCAAATATTTTATTACTAGGTGGTTTTGTATGTATAATATTATGCAATACTATGAACTATTGTTTCACACAATGCTTCCAAACGCAAAAAATATCGGCCCGTGGGCACAAAAAAAAAATGCACGAGATGCACATGAAAACCCCAATATTCACGTGCAGCATTGTGTGTGAGCCCTTTAAAAGCATGTTTTCAACTTAATGTGCAGTACATGAACTGTGAAACGTCAATCTGTCGTAATTTGTTGTTGGACGTGTGAAGGAATCGAGCTAGAGATGCCGAGACTTACTGAAAATCAACGGAATGAAGCTATGGGAATGTCCAGGGCTGGCATGTCTACACGTGCTATTGACAAACACTTCAATTGTCACCAGTTCACTATTGTAAGGTTGGTGGAACGTGTTCGAGTTACTGGATCAACACGTGACCGTCAACGTCCTGGTCCACAACGCGTTACAACCCAGGCTCAAGACCGCTACATCCGGGTCACTCATCTGCGTGACAAATTCCGCCCAGCGACTCGAACAGGTGCAGCAGTCATCGGAAGACAAGGACCAGTAAGTGCCTACACCGTAAGACGTCGTCTAAGAGAAGTAGGACTCCGTGCACGACGACCTTATGTTGGAGCTATCCTCAGGGATCATCACCGTCAGCGGCGTTCGATATGGGTTCAAGGACACCAGACATGGAGAAGAGTAGACTGGCAACGTGTTTGGAGACGTCTTGCAGACTGCTGCGTCTTCGAAACACATTTGCAGGGGTCGCGTTAATGCTGTAGCCTACCGTGATGATGTCTTGCAACCAATTGTTGTTCCGATGTTTCGAGCGCACCCACAACTTCAGCACTTCCAACAGGATAATGCACGTCCGCATACCGCCCGTTTTAGTATGGACTACCTGGCTGCTACCAACATCAATGTCTTGGACTGGCCAGCCATGTCTCCGGACATGGCACCGATAGAACATGTCTGGGATGAGATTGGACGCCGTCTGTATCGGAGACCACAGATGCACACCATTGCTGCTTTAGAAGCTGCTTTTGTCCAAGAATGGAACAATTTGCCCCAGGCCTTCTTTCAAACATTGGTAAATTCCATGCGACGTCGCTCCACAGCGTGCGTAAGAGCCCGTGGAGGACACACGCGCTACTGACATCTGTGTCGTACTTTTGGTTTTGACCCCTCTGACTTTGTACAGTTGATTACAGATTAAACATCCATAAGTGTACAAATGTGTTGTTATTGATGTGTTCCCATTTGAATATTGTTCACAATAAGAAGCAAAATAAATAAAATATGTTTACAGGATCATTTTGTTATACGAAAAACTAAGTGATGCGTTTTCCATGGCGCTCAGTATATATAGAAAGAGCAAACATAACCGAGTCCATAACATATCGTAATTGGAACACGAGTTTGGTACACGGCACATACATGAACACGTATTATACCCTAACATGGAGAAATGTATAAAATAAAATGTTCGAAACTTACATCTAAGACAGGAACAGAAGTTAAATCCATGCCCGTTATATTGTATATCAATGGTGACCTCATCTTTACAAAGTCTCGAGTTTTATTGTAATCCCAAGGTAACGATGTATCGAGGCCTGTTACCTGTGTATCCAACTGTAATACAAGGATACAAGGCGTAAATGAATAATATCCCCGTGGGCCTTCCCTGTATAGAATTTCGTTTTGTTCCCGGTCGTATATTAGAAATAATAGTCGATAGCTAACCGACAGAGAGGGGTTGTACTTGTTTCACTGATAAAAAGACATTCCTTCTCAACATTCCTTACCTCAGCTACACGGTAAATCCCTCAATAATCATGGTATGTTGTTTAACATGATTTTTACTTTATTGAGAGAAAGCTGTGAACGTCGATTTATGAAACCTTGTTAATACTTTAGGGGTCCTAACTTTTCCCACAAAACTTTCCAAAAATTTAATATTTTCTTCAAACCATTAAAATTGAGGGACTATTGCTAATTTTCGGTAACCGTTATTAACTGAGTACCCCCCCCCCCCCCCGGCTTTTAACGCTATAATCGTCACGATATACATGCATAGAACATTTTTTAAATTCCAATAATTTGGTCACCCACCTAATTGTCGTCTAAACCAAGCAGGTTTTATTTATAAAAAAACGTATTTAAACTCGCTTTAGGTATAACATCCCCTTCAATACCATAATCATGTAAATAGCCAGCAACCCGTTGTGGATCTAGATTAAACTAAAATTGGTGTGTGGGACATTACCTTTAAAAATTCGTTCAAATTTTTAGCAAAACAGTGCATCACGGGCTTATTGGTTAGAAGATGGCGTTTAACTTTCAATCTTCTTGATTCTTCTTCTGACATATTATAGAGTTTGTCACATAACTTCTACAACAAACAAATAATCAATATCATCATTTAGAAACTCACTAACGTTATCAAAGGACCATGGCGAGGCAACCCATATGATACCCATACACCTATAAAATTGTGCTCCGTCGCGAATGAATAAACAGTTTACAGTATTATCACCAATCGCTTGTGTGATAAATTTCATAATCTACTGGTCAGTTAAAAAGGAACTACTTTTTTTATTTTCAAAGAACAGTTCATTCTTTTTTATTAAAAGTAACTTCTTATTTATTAAAAATTAACTATTTTTTATTTAATTGACCTTCATGGAAACATTGGGTTAATACAAAGTACTTTGCAATGGTTGAATCGCTGTCAAAAAAAATATGTATCACTACGCCGTATTATGTAATCGGATTCAGTAACAGTGAAATCTATAGCAAAGAATTATATTTATTTATTTGTGCATGTAAAAAGGATTGCGTGATAAATAAAATCTCCTACTCATATTTTTTAATATCAAAAAATATCAACACTCAGAGCCTCGGTTTTTTTGGGTTTTTTTTTACTTTATCGACTTGTGTTGATATTTTTTTTATATCAAAAAAGACTCGTAGGAGATTCTCTATATATACGGACGGGGCTATAGTATGTCTTCATCACCGGGAAGCCGCCCCCCCCCCCACACACACACATATATATATATATAAATCATAATTATTATTCGTGATTGTCCATTACACTGTGGGACATGATGTGGGTCGTAAAATAATACGGCTATTTAAACCTAGTCGGTGCAAATAACTAGGAAGTCGAGCCACAATTCAGGAAAGGGCAGAAGTACGGAAGACCATTAGGGTCAATAAAATGAAATAATTATATATATTATGGTCTCCCGTACAGAAATGATTCATAGTAACATCGCTCTAAAAATATATCAACAAATTATGTCGATAACCTTGACAAACGTTGTGAACATACTTTACTGTACCTGATAAGATTTCTGTGCTTCAACTGAGTTTGGGTCAAAGTTGTCATCAAAATGAACCGTGCCCTTACATTTAACATCGCTGAAATGGCAACTTGATAGATCTTGTTCCTTAAGTCCCCACAATAAAGTCAGGCTTAAGGGATAGTCTATCGCATCTGGTAAAAAACTGTTCGCACGATAATTCGCCGCTTTACCATAGTTATGATTCTTTTTAAAAAACTGTATCTGTCAATATACAAAAATATTCATCAATTAAAAGTTTTACACGTCAAGAAATGGCAACTTGATAGATCTTGTTCCTTAAGTCCCCACAATAAAGTCAGGCTTACGGGATAGTCTATCGCATCTGGTAAAAAAACTGTTCGCACGATAATTCACCGCTTTACCATAGTTATGATTCTTTTTTTTAAAAAAAACTGTAGCTGTCAATATACAAAATTATTCATCAATTAAAAGTTTTACCCGTCAATATAATATATATTACAAAAAATTAAAAAATTGCATTTTAAACTTAAATAAATACCACACGGAGTAGACGAAACGGTGATGCCAAGAGGGTTATATATTGGAAATGGAATGAAATGGGATGAGGTTTAACTTCCTATCGGGTTCTCTTACGCGCACGTCAACGTGTACACGGGAACTCGGTTTATCTTGGGAAAATTTCTTGCCCATTATTCAATTACTCAATGTGCCACTGTACACAGCCCTATTACTCACTGAGTCACTGTGCATAGCTTCATTATGCAATTGGGCATTAGTTACCAAGTAACGTCAGATTCTAATAGTCCTAAATTAATAACAAAACTGTTTTGACTGGAGGTGCACCGTTTTTTTTTTTGCGGGGGGGGGGGGTAGGTTTTTTTTAAAATTTCTCTGTAGTGAATTAACCCAGGCCATGTATTCTTTTCCTAAGCGAAACGACCGAAACCGTAGATATCTTATTCAAATTCAAATTACCTCTAGAAACCAGTAGGCATTTCAGTGTGAATTATATGTCGATTTCAAGGGATAACCATACAGTTACCGAAGGGCATTTAGGTCAAAACTTTCTTATATTTTAGTCTAGATTGGGAAGATTTCTTTACACAAAATAAAAAACAATCCAACAGTGGGGCTGATGCCCCCCGCCGAAATCCCGAAATAAATAGATGACACATATTAATTAATTGCACGTTTATCTTTTTCAAAAGAATCGAGCAATCAAACTGATTATCAACTATACATTAAGTTTATTCTCTCTATCAGATATAATCAAAGTCCAAGAAATTGCTTTGCTCTGCTTAGCTTTAGCGGGAAATGTTAATCATTAAACTCAGTCAAGACATTCACCTAATGAAGATCCACATCAAGTTTAAAAATTATACCTCAATTAAAAGCAGAGTTGTTATGTTCCAAAGTCTTGGCCAGTCAAATTGCTTATGGCTCCTCAGCCTACGCAGAAAATTCTCATCAAACGTAGTCAAGGTAATAATATAATGGATCTATACTCGACTGAGTTTCATAGCTCTCACTCAATTATAACCAAAGTTATCGTGCCCAAAAGCACTCACAAATCCAATTAGAAGGAGCGTTATTGTATTTCAAAGTCTCGACCAATCAAAGTGCTTATCGCTCTGCTTACTGTCAGCAGAAAATGTTCATTGTCGAAGTTATTCAAGGTATTGATGTGATGAAACTATACACCAAGTTCCATCACTCTCACTTAATTAGAACTAAATCTGGATACAAGCACTAAAATTTGCATGGGTGTCCGTTTAGGGTCATTTATTAACAAAATCCAAAGTTTCATCAAAATTGTTGCCTCCATATTCTTTGCCGCTATTTGCGTAAGCGGGCAATGTAAACGGCTTAAATAACGAAAAAGATGTATTCAAGGTGATTTAAAGGTGCCACAATATAATTGTATTGACTCCAAAATGTATCATATAGGACAATTCTTTTTCGTTTCGGTTTATCTGTAGAGATCCAATGAGATATGCTTCATGCATGCGCAATCAGTTGCATTCACGTTTTGCAGACGAAAAGACATACTTGAGGATTTTTCTAATAAAATCCTGTTTATTTATGACAAGTTCGACGAACTTGGTCGCAGTTTTAACAAATATGAAGAAATCTTCAACAAGAGAACCGACTCGTAGCGAGACTACGACTGACATGTCAGTTAAGACTGATAAAATGAGCACTTTGACCGAGCTGTCGAAGGCTGTTAATGATAATTTAAATATGGCGACCGGTGAATTGACCCAACCACCACCGAAAGGTTTATCGCCTGAGAAGAATTTGAAAAGAATTTCTGATGGCTCAAAACGTAAACAGACGTCAAAAGCAGGCAGCAATTCTGCCGGTTGTGATTTAGAAATGAAGAATCTTCTGGAGCAAATTTTGACTAATCAGAATGAAATGAATGAAAAAGTTCAAATCATGTGGAATAGCCCTTTTCAAGTAGAGAGTGAGGAGGGCAACTATGCCTGTAGCGTGGTCTCTGATAATGAAATGCCAGGAGAAAATAATGTTAATGAAGATGGCATGGAAGCCTCAAACTCAAAGAAACTAAAATTAGATGATAGTCAGCAGAGTGCCAAATTCATTTCAATTGGCAAAAAACTTGGCATGCAAAATCAAGAAATCACATACTCTCCCGTTGATGATGAACTTGCAAAAATTGTAAATGGACTATTTACAGATGGTCTAACTGATGAATTTTATAAAGATTTGCTAAAGAAATATAATAAGCCAGAAAATTGTGAAACATTGACAAATATCAAAGTAAATCAATTGATATGGGACATAACTACACCAAAAACCCAGAATATGGATATAAAATTTCAAATGACACAGACATGTCTCGTTAAAGCAGGTGTAATTTTAACTCAGTTAGCAGATAAATTTAACAAGGACCCCAACTCAGATGAATCCCACATTGAAGATATTACTAGTGCCATTGGTTTATTGGGACATGGCTTCCACCACTTATGTATGAGAAGGAGAGAGCTTATTAAACATGAATTTCGTTCTGAATACCTCCATTTATGTTCCCCCTCAATTAAATACACTGATAAGTTATTTGGGGATGATACTGAAAAGAAAGTTAAAGATATTAGAGATGTAAACAGAGTTGGAAGTCGTCTCAGAAACTTTAACTCAATTCTAGAGGCAGATTTGGTTTTACTCCTTCATGGAAAAGTGGAAGGGGACGTGGAAGTTTTGCAAGCAATAGGAGTGGATTCAGTTTTTTAGGTTACGGAAGAGGCCGTCAACCTTATGGAGACGCAAGTACCTACAACAAGCAAAAGCCTGCATCAAAAATGAAGTCAAGAAGAGACTAGATACACAGGTGAGCGTTTATGAATCTGAAATTTTGAAAACAGCTGGTAATTTGTCTAAGTTTATTGATAATTGGAAAGAATTAACTTCAGATAAAACCATATTAAATGATATTCCGGGACTGAAATTAGAATTTATTGAGGGTAAAGCTCCACACCAATACTTTGTTCCATCTCCCATACAATTTTCAGATAAGGACAAGGATATAGTTCCACAAGAACTAGACAAATTCATTAAAAAAGGCATTATTGAAAAAACTAAGCACTCTTATGGAGAATTTATTTCAAATATATTTATCAGACCAAAAAGGGAATTGAATTCTTACAGGGTAATTTTGAATTTGAAAAAATTAAATGAAAGTATTGTTTATCACCATTTTAAAATGGATACCTTTAATACTGCAGTTAATTTAATAACGAAGAATGGTTTTATGACATCAATAGATATTAGAGATGAATATTATGGAGTTAATATTTCTACTTCGGACCGAAAATACCTTAGGTTTTATTTTGACAATGAACTATATCAATTTACATGTCACCCTAATAGACTTGCCTCTGCTCCAAGGAAATACACTAAACTTTCTAAACCGGTTTATTATTCTACTTTAAGAAAAATGGGCATTACAATAATGGGATATATTGATGATTCTCTGATTGTCTCTGATTGTCTCTGATTCGAAGGAAGAATCTTTACAGGCAGTTAATAGTTCTGTTAATCTACTTAAACAATTAGGTTTCTTAATAAATTATGATAAATCTTCTCTTATACCAACACAAAGAGTACAATTTTAGGCTTTATAATAGATTCTGTAAAGATGATAAAAGAATTACCTGAAAGTAAAAGTAATTATTTGTTTGATCAGTGTAAACTTTTACATGAAAAACAGTACTGTACAATAAGAGAAATGTCTCATGTAATAGGACTAATTGTATCTGCACTACCTGCATCTGAATATGGACAACTTCATTATAGAAGCTTAGAGAAAAATAAAATTGAAGGTTTAAAAGTAAGAAATGGTAATTTTGATGAAATAAATGTAATAGATGAGGGAAGTAAGAATGGTCTTCTTTGGTGGATAGAAAATGCTAAACATTTATATAAAAATATTATTCATAAGGATTTTTCCATGATAATTTATAGTGATGCCTCTTTGGAAGGTTATTATGGGTCTGAATTTGAAGGAAAACGAGCAGGGGGGGGGGGGATGGAGCTCAGTTGATTTGACTGAAAATAAATCAATAAATGAATTAGAATTATTAGCTGCATTTTTTGCCCTAAAATGTTACTACAGTGGAACAAAATCGTTACACTGTAATCAGTTGGCTAAACAATTATGGGAGTGGTGCATAGCAAGGGATATCTGGGTTACGGCTTCTTATATACCTGGGGCACTAAATGTTGATGCAGATTTTGAAAGTAGACATTTCAAGGATGATACAGAATGGATGCTCCGTAAAGATGTCTTTGATGACATTGTGGACATTTTTGGTAGACCTTGTATTGGTCGTTTTGTCTCAAGACTTAATTCACAGCTCCCAGTGTATGTGTCATGGAAGACCCATATGCTAAGTATGTAGATGCTTTTTCTCTGACTTGGTCTAATAAAATATATTTATTTCCTCCTTTCAGCCTATTAACCAGATGTTTAAAAAAGATAAGAGAAGACCAGTCTACTGGAATAATAATGGTGCCACTCTGGGTAACACAGCCTTGGTTTACCCTGTTGTTAAAACTGTTAACCGATTTTCCACTAATTCTTCCAAAGACGGAGAGACTACTCATCATGCCACAGACCGAAAAGTTACATCCACTCAGAAGGAAACTGACTCTGTTAGCATGCAAAGTTTCAGGAATTCAATCAGAAAACACAATGTTTCAGAGCAAGCTACAACCATCCTCTGGAATTCATGGAAACAAAGTACACATAAACAATATGACACATATTAAAAGATGGAACATGTTTTTTGATAAATGGAAAATTAATCCATTTCAAACAACTGTACAGTTTGTAATAAGATTTTTAACTATGTTGTTTAATGACGGACTGAGTTACAGTGCCATAAATACTGCGAGATCGGCAGTTTCACAGTTAATTTTTAGTTCAAATGACACTGAAGTCACAGGGAAACATCCTTTGATTGTTCGATTCATGAAAGGGGTATACAATATGAGACCTCCAACGCCGAAATATGATTATGTTTGGAATGTCAAAGTTGTTTTAGGCTGGATAGAAAAGCTTTCACCAGTTGAATCAATAAGTTTAAAGGATTTAACTTTAAAAACTGTTGTTTTGTTGGGATTAATTTTAGCGGCAAGATGCCAGTCTTTAAGTTTATTAGATTTAGATCTTATGACCCAAAATGAAGATTCTATTGTGTTTGAATTTTCGCCGAATTCCTTGAAACAATCTAGACCTGGTTATAAACCACCAAATGCTGTCATTTCTGCTTTTCATGAGAATTCAAATATTTGTCCTTATATCACTTTAAAGGAATACTTAAATAAAACCGAGAAACTGAGGGGCAGTGAGACTAAATTATTTATAAGTTTTGTAAAACCGTATAAAGTGGTGACTAGGAATACTTTAAGTCGATGGATTAAAACTGGATTAGCTTTGTCAGGAATTGATACAACAAAGTTTAAGGCACATAGTGTTAGGTCCGCTGCTGTGTCAAAAGCGAAACGGAGTGATATACCAATTGAAAAGTACTGCTGGTTGGGCAAGAGTGTCTACATTTGCCCGGTTCTATGATAAGCCTTTAATTTATAATGCAGGAAAAAGTGAATTTTCTACTGTACTATTGTCATAACTGTATTATGGAAAAAAATTAAAATGTTAACACATTTTTGTTGTTGTTCTATTTAGTTGCCACTTTAAAGTCTCATTGGATCTCTACAGATAAACCGAAACGAAATAGAATTTAAAAGTTAAACGAGCCTTACCTGTAAGGTGAAGTTTGACTGTAATTCTATAGAGTTGAAGGTTTAGGTAGAGCTGAGTTTTGGGGATAATTTATTAAAATTCGAACATTGTGAAACAATAACCCTGCCCTTTAGAAGGCAACCAAACAGACCTTTAAATTCTGATTGCGCATGCGTGAAGCATATCTCATTTGATCTCTACCTAAACCTTCAACTCTATAGAATTACAGTCAAACTTCACCTTACAGGTAAGGCTCGTTTAACTTTTAAATTTTATGTAATTTTTTTGCACAAAATGATATTTGTTGCCGGAAAAGGTGACCATCTTAAAATTGGGCGTCATCTTGGATTTCCGAATGGGTAATTTGTTTTTCCAAAAATGTAGCCCCAAAGAAGTATTTTTGCCAATTTGGATACTTGTATCCACATTTGACAGATTTCCTTGAAGAGTGCAGTTAGCCGTTGCACTATAGGTGATTCTGATCCCGCAAAACCATTCAAAAATTTCAAAGTCAACAAGTTGTTCTTTAATACAAATACATGTATATAATTTACAGTAACAATTACCTGTTCATTGTCTGGTTTTAATCTTGAACAGCTTATTAACATAAATAAGACCAATACAGCAAATCCACTTATTAATATCCATCTTATTTTACCATGGGTGACAAATTTAAAATATTTATCTCTGAAAAATCGAACCAACATACCAGGCTGTTTTTTAACAACAGTCTCTGTGACTTCATTTTGACAAAAATCATTATCTATTAAGTTGTCTGTAATCTGGGTTGATTCCTTTGTATTCTTTAAGCAACACGAGCAGAAGTTTGTACAACATTTCTTTATTTTAACGTGATAAAAAATCACAATAGTAGGAAAGAAAATTATCACGGAAATATAGTCAATAATAATTAAGACGGCTGAAAAAATCCCGAACGATTTAGTGGCTAGAAGTGGCGTAAGGGCGGTAGATGCAAAAGCTGCCATCGTTGTTACTGATGTCACAAACATACTGAGAGTTGATTTCCGGTAGGCAGAAGATAGACGATGTGCAAGAGACGGGTATGACGTCAGGCCAGTTGCTCTCCAAAAATCATAGAAAACAAATAAATCGTCTGCACCTATTCCTAGAATAATAAAAAGCGACAACACGTGAAAAAATCCAAAATAACGAAAGTCAAGGATGACTCTGTAGAACAAATTAGTTGCCAGGAAACTTGAGAGAATGCTGATAACCGACCATACTGTAATCCATAATGAAGATGTATGAAACCACATATAACAAAATATAAATATCACACTCCCCCCTGCTAAATATAAATCTTTTATGGCTTGTTCAGCCACGTCATGTTCAAACAAAGAAAGACTGAAATACGTCACATCAAAATCTTTAGTTTTTATAATTTCTTCAAAAACGGGTTTTAAATATTTAACTTGTTTGCTTCGTACTATTTTTGCGGCAATGTCTTCGTTGAAATCGTTTGAAATTGGCCACCCCAATGGAAATTCACTTCTAGTCAAAGATGAGCTTACGAAAGAAGGTGATATTTTAAAATCCTTTGCGAGTAAATAATTCAACTCAACTTTTGTCTCATTTGTATTATAAGCTGTGTATAGTACATTTATAATATTATCAAACTTAGAGTCATTAAATATTGGATTAATATGAGCCCTTGATCCATCGAAAAAAAGAATGACAGAGTTCGGTAAAACTTGTTCGCCTTTCTTTGTTAATTGACAAATATCAGAATACTCGGGAATTGAGTCGACTTTCTTTTCTATTGATGCAATTGTTTGTAAGTGCTCCTTTGTAAAAATGTTTTTACCATGTGTGTCATATATTAATTCAATTCTCATTCCTTCATTACCCCGTATCCACGTGGGTATATAATCGCCTTTTACGTATCTGTGCACAGGGTGTTTGAAATTAAATCGATTTTGGTAAGCTCGATACCGAGCAAGCCATGGGCTATCACGTAATTCCATTGGTAAGGTTTCAAAATTCGTTGGGAAAACGTCAAAACCAACTAGAAGTAGAATGATAGTTACTGCTCCAATAAATAGGTGACCAGAAACACCCAGAACTGTAAATAAATATAAATAATACAAAAAGATGAACAGATAACCTTAATTGGACATACTTCTTCTTTACTAGACACACACAAAAACTGTCATAATAAAAAAAACCGAAAACAAGTACAATAGTTATGGACCAGCACCCGGGATTGGCCGCATCCTGGACAATCGATGCGCAATTGTTCAAGGAACAAACATGACAAGTCGCATGCTGATCGTACTTGAATTTCCTTCAACTTTGCATCATGACATTCAGAGTCCTTTATCAAAAATAATTACCCCTTTCTCTATAATGTCACACGGCCGTGACTGTGTGGTTCGTATTTGAAATTATTTATATGATGGCTCATAACAATCTAATTACCCTTTTTCTCTATAATGTCAAACGACCCGGACTGTGGGCTTCATATTTGAAATTATTTATCTAATGTTTATAAGCTAAAAATTCTGCAGTAACACTTACTAAAAGACATGATGGGATAAGTTGTCACGAAACGACAAAACCAAAATGGTTTCTCATGTTTCGTTGTCTCTTCTTCAGCCATCTCTTTACCCAGTAATTCATCATCGTTTCTAATTTCATTTTCACGTTCTTCTATTACCGAAATAAGCTCGGAATCCTGTAAATCATCATCGTGTCTACTTGCATTTTCACGTTCTTCTATTACCGAAATGAGCTCGGAGTCCTGTAAATCACCATCGTGTCTATTTTCATTTTCACGCTCGGAATCTTGTAAATCATTGTCGTTTCTACTTTCATTTTCTTCTATTACTGAAATAAGCTTGGAATCCTGGAAATTCTCGCCACTGCGAATTGAACCTAACTCAAGTCCATTTTTACACACTTGCGCATCCATGATCTTTTTTATTGCACCTTCGTAAAGTCAATACTTTGCACATACACAACACATTACCAAAATGCATACAGCACCACATAGTGGATAGTTTTCCACTATATGAATTAATAAGGTCTCCCTCCGGGGATCAAATCGATATGAATTCAGGTACACAATCTATATAAAATCACAATCAAGAAATATGTCCTATGAATTAGAATGAAAGGCCTATAAATGCATTCTCCGTCAGTATATGCTAATTAGAGCCACAGTTCGTGGCTGACTGTGTGTACACTTTGAATGTATATTTATATGTACGTATACACAGTTTATCAATATACTAGACATGTGAACTACCTTCCAAAGGCTGAATAGTATCATAAGGCTATACTTGAATGCAGTTAGCCTTTATTTCTCGGTGACCTGGAAATATAGAGAAACAATAGTTTACGGTGTTTGTTATGATTCTTTTCATTTTTATTCTGTTCGAAAATAATAGTGTTATACATTTCACCTATGTAGTAATATATATTTAGTACAATGTATAAGTCTACAAGATTTAGTCATCCAGTCTAAGTTGAGAACATTAATGTATGTTCTTGGGGTTTATTTTAGCTATCTTATAACATTTAGGTATGAAAAATTGTGACCCGCCACGTCGCTATTACAAAACAGGGGGAGGGCGGCTCCACTGATAACCCAAAACCTATAGTATACCGCATGACCACGATAACGCTAATTCTATCTTATACCACTTCACCACGATAACCACGATAACCCTAATTCGATATTATGCCACATGACCAAGTGACCACAAAAACCCTAATTCGATATTATACCAAATTACCCCGATAACCCTAATTCTATATATTATATGTGACTACGATAATCCTTCTTCTATATTATACCACATTACCCCGAAAACTCTAATTCTATATTATACCACATTACCCCGAAAACTCTAATTCTATATTATATGTGACTCATACTCCTCGCAGTGTTCCGGGCCATTGCTTCAGGAATATGTATGTGACTATGCGATACGCCTAATTCTATATTACATTACCCCGATAATACTAATTTCTTTATTACCCTGATAACCCTATATCATTATATATTATATACTACATTACCCTGACAACTAAAATTCTATATTATACCACCCACCCCTAATTCTATATTATAACACTTCACCTCGAATTTTATTTTATAGCACTCCACCATTAATTCTATGTTATACCATATCAACACGATTAAGACATAGGCGTAGGAGCTCAAAGTAATTCTTTTATCCTTCCACACTTTGATTATGCCGACATTATCTGGGATGGGTGCAGTGATTATTTAGCTAACAAACTAGAATCCCTACAATTAGATGCACTGCGCACTATCTGTGGGGCGGTAAGAGGTACTAGCCATGCCTTACTCTATAAAGAGACTGGGTTTGTTCCACTCTCGGAAAGACGTCGACGTCATAAATTAAAATTAATGTACAAAATAACTAACAACCTCGTTCCATCATATCTCTCTGACCTATTAGAACTGTCCTCTACCCCTATCAATTATACCCTTAGAAACAAAGATAAACTAAAGGAAACCAGATGCAGAACCGAAATTTTCTCAGAGTCCTTCATCCCTTCCAGTATACGAGAATGGAACAAACTTAACGTTGAAATTAGAAACTCTCGATCCCTTGCTATCTTTGGAAATTCACTAAATAAATTAGACACCATCGTGCCATCATATTACTATACTGGGATACGAAAATTACAAATAATCCACTGTAAACTAAGATTATGCTGCTCGAACCTACAAGGCCATAAATTCCTCAGACACGTCGATGATAGCCCTGCTTGCCTCTGTGGTCACAAATTCGAAGATACCGAACACTATTTACTCGTATGCCACTTATATTCAGATGCAAGAAAACGGACAATCCATAACCTTCAACATAATCATAAAACAATCAGTTGTCTGTTGTATGGGTCAACAAAACTTAGTCCAGAGATAAACACACTTATTTTCCAAGAAGTCAAACAATTTATTTCCTTATCAAAAAGATTTAAATCTCCATAATCAACTCTTAAGTCATTCCAAGCCCTGCACTCTGTATAATCATCTAAGTCTCTATATTATCCATGATGTATCATATATGCTCTATAATTATGTAATTATGTATGTATGTATGCATGTAAATATTTATAATGTGTACATGTACCGAAATCAGAGAGAGGGGTTACACATAGGCATAGCCTGTTCCCCAATCCAAATTCAGATTTAATGAATAAAAATATTGTTTAAAAATAAAAAAAAACACGATTAAGACATAGGCGTAGGAGCTCAAAGTAATTCAGGGGGGCATAAGAGAAAATTGCCCGAAATCAATACCGTTTTTTCGGGCATACATATCATAAGAGAGCTTCGGGCATATTTTCGGGCATGCAGTGGACAAGAAAATGACGAGAAAATACTTTTCGGGCAGTGTGGATCTCATAAAAATAAGTTAGTTATATTTTTTCCCTAAACGTTAATAGAAAAAAAGGTCGTCGAATTTTTCATTGCGCGAAGTTTGATGCTATTTATGTAACTCCCAATAACAACGAAGTATTATCGAATCTATTCGACTGACAGACCAACCGAAATACAACAACCTGTTGCACACTATTAAACATAGGTAACAAACCAACAGGGTTACTGTTTTTGAATGGGTTTGCATACAGATTGTCGACAAGACTTTCAGTTGAAAGACTATAACTAACTCCAAAGATTTTCTTGATATTAATTTTCACATATTTTATACCTGATTTATAAATGTTTCTCGCTTAGCTTTCGTTCTTGGCGGAGAGGTGAACTTCACACCAGACTAGAAGAAGAAATGGAAGGAAAAGTGGACCAGGCCCAGCATTCACCAACAAGCCCCGAGGAAGAATTGCAGCCCTGCCATTCAACCGGACAAATCGACCAGACCGACAGAAACGACTCATTTAAATATTAGCCCGGTTAAAATAATAAATGACCTAGAACAAATTACAACAGAATTTTTCTCGACGGAATCTGGTAGAGGGGTCCCTGAAGTTCTCCCAAACAAAAAAATCGCCCAAAATAAAAATATAGGTTTTCGAATAATTAGCATAAATCCAATATGGCCGCCACTGGCACCTTAAAACTTCAATATCTCGGGAATGGTTGAGTTTGGAGGGTGTAAATGGATTACGGGTAGATAGGAAAGTGGTACAGAATGATGACTCAGAAAAAACATAGCTAAAAGACGTTCCTGTGACGTCATACCGTCATACGGCCAAAAATTAGCATAAATCCAATATGGCCGCCATTGAAACTTAAAACTCCAACATCTCGGGAATGGTTGAGTTTGGAGGATGTAAATGTATTACGAGTAGATAGGAAAGTGCTACCAAAGAACATACTAGTAGCTAAAAGACGTTCCTGTGACGTCATACGGTCAAAAATTAGCATAAATCCAATATGGCCGCCATTGAAACTTAAAACTCCAACATCTCGGGAATGGTTGAGTTTGGAGGATGTAAATGTATTACGAGTAGATAGGAAAGAGCTGCCGAAGAACTAGAAAAACAATGCCATGTGGCGTCCTCGTGACGTCATAAGTCATACGGCCAACAATTAGCATGATTCCAAAATAAAAAGATAGGTTTTCGAGTAATTATCATAAATCCAATATGGTCACCATTGGTACCTTAAAACTCCAATATCTCGGGAGTGATTGGTTTTTTTAGGGTGTAAATGTATTAGAGGTAGATATAAAAGTGGTACCAAAGAATTAAAAAAAAGCATAATCCATGACGTCCCTGTGACGTCATAACACGTCCAACAATCGGCATAAATCCAATATGGCTGCCGTCGGAACCTTGAAACTGCAATATATCGGGAATGGTTGAGTTCAGGGGGTATAAATGTGTTGCGGGTAGATAGGAAAGTGCTACCAAAGAATCAGAAAAAACGTTGCTAAATTACGTCCATGTGACGTCATAACGCCATAGTCCAATCATTAGTATAAATCCAATATGGCCGCCTTTGGAAATCTTAAAACTCTAATATCTTATGTATTATGGGCAGACAATGTGAAAAGACGTAATGATTAAACGAAGAAGTGGAACAATTCATCGACAATGTTATGATAATTCACGAAAAGGGGATTTGGAATTCGACCAGAAGAGATTTATCAAAACAGCAACCACACTAATCTGCAGCAAGATTATTAAACAAAATCCATCACACATCCAGAAAAGTATTCCCTGGACCAGAAACAATAAAGTTTTTGAGTGCATTGACAAAATTTGCATCAATTTTGCTAAAGAATACACAATCACTTTGAACTGTTTAAACGATCCTTTGGCATCACCCTATTTATCCGATTTGATTAAACAATATGTGCCTTCTCCTTCCTTACGTTCCTTATGTCCAGTACAGAAGTCAAAGTTTGGTGAGAGAGCTTTTGCGTATGCAGCACCAAACGAATGGAACAAATTGCCTCTGGAAGTCCAAAATAGTCCAAACTTGACTATATTTAAACGAAGTCTAAAAGCCCGTTTTTTACCCAAACTTTTGACCTATAATTTAAATGCTTCACTTTCCATTTGTATATTGTAACTTGACTATTCCTTTGTATTCTTTTGTTTATTTGTATATACATGTAAGTTATTTTATAATCATATCTACGTTGTAAAGCAACACAGAGCAGTCAGACTGACTGAATGTTCAGCGCTATAGAAAACGATTATTATTATTATTATTATTATTATGTTTGGTAAAAGCGGGAGACCCCAAGCAATTTTAGACCTATTTCATTCAGCGTTCGCGATACAGCTACATCATATTTATGGGCCAGGATTTCTAATCGGCTCTTTGAATGCATACGGCTTCTGTACCTCTTATTTGAAATTAAAGCAGCAACGATGTAGTAATACCGGACTTCCTTGTTGTGTTTCCTTTGTGATCGTAAAAAAAACTACAGGTTAGTTCGTTTCTACAGCTTTCCTATTAAACTGCTTGCAAGGCTTCTATGTTCCACGTTCTCAATAAACCATTGCACTATAAACCTCAGAATGCCTCGTTCGGCATTTTTGTATAAACGTGGCAAAAACTATTAAAATTTTTGCCATAATTTTGCCAAGTTGTAACGTGGTAAAAACAA